AAACATTTCCTATTTAGGGTGAGTTCACCATGCATCGGACACATACCTTGCTTCGGACAACTTTAGGCAATAAACTCTCTTTCAACTTAAGAGTTCTGTGTATTTATTTGTTTCTGTCATAAAGATGAAGATTTAAATTTTTTAATGATACCGATTGTGTTTATCATGTTGTGATAAAAATACCCCGCAAATGGCCTTGAAGTTACGTCATATTTTACATCATCAAAGGGGAATAACCCGAAATTTATGATATTGCAATTTTTAGAGTTATCGTTCTTTTAAATTTGACTTCCACGGAAAGAGTCGGACTTTGGCGAATTTTGTCAGGGATTGGCAATTTTACATAAATTATAAAGAAATTTCACTTCAATGTTTGTTTAATTCTTATTAGAGCTGGTTTTTACTAGTATGCTAATTTCACCGTACATTGGACACAAATTAACCATGCATCGGACACTTTTCGATGCAAAAGCAAGCACTACCATTTACATACAGAACCCAGCTGATAGCTGTTTTTTGCGAAAAAAGAAAATAGAAACTCTATATTTTCAGTCAAAATACAAATTATCGATATATGACGTCTAGAAGCTGACTCAATTTATTTCTACAAACCAGAGTATGATAACCCATGAGAAAAACGCGCGAAATACCGCATTACAAGCATTTTAAAGCATTTCTAAGGCAAAGTGAGGCATCTTGAATCGTTCTACATTTGTGCAACGATATTGTCAATTAAAATTAAGTTGAGGGTTATTTCTTAGATAAAAGATAAAAGTATATCCATATCAAGGATTTTAAGGCACTGTCATAAAGGTATGATATGTTTCCGGTCTAAATACCGTCTGTCCGATGCATGGTAAACAATGTCTGATCCATGGTGAATTCTTAGTTATTCTTAAAAACTCGATTTTTGATGATATTTTCTCAATAAAGGACATATAATTGTGTCCCGAATTGATATTTTAATCACAAACTAAATGTTAAGCTCCATTTTGATAATTTTCCGTCGGTAGCGATATCGCTAGAACTTGTTGAAGTACAAGGGTATCCGATGCATGGTGAATTCACCCTATTCACTGTATTTATATATCTGACTTGAACCAATGGAAGGTTGTATAGATGAGACTTTTCCATTGCATATGTTGTAATCTGTATGATATTCCTGGAGTCTTGACATGGGAAAATTCAAGCATGAAAATCTTTTAACAGTATGAAGTACCATATAATCTGAAATTTTTTAATTCTAACAATCCTATGTGTTTGGTAAATTTTCAAAATTTAACTACTAAGTGTATATGTTATTTTCTGGCATCTGAACAGTTGATAGATGTAAGTAGATCTCTTAGAATCTTATATATCTAACCCTGCTTTCCTTTACATATCCATATAATGTATATATTTCTGAAATTCAGTTTGCTTTGACTTGTTCAGTGAGGAAGAATAATTGTTGATTTATAAGCCTTGAGCTATGGTTTACTTTTTTGTTTATTACTTAAAACATAGCTTGGAAATTTATTGTAAGATTTATTTTTAGATAATTTAAAATGTTTTTCATGGCCTTTTATAAATTTGCTTCAATGTCTATAATTCTTTTTCCTTTGTAAGGATTGCAGTATCTTTGGATAGGGTTGCCTTTGATTTTATTGCATGTCTTCCTTGGTGGTTTGGTTTTCATTGTATCTGAGATACATTTTAAGTCATTAGTTTATGTTTGATGTTAAGGGTGAACTCAAACCAGATGAAGCAGTCAAGGCCCTGACAATATTTGAGGGAAAATTCAATCGACTGAAGGAGGAGAGAGAAAATGTTGCAAAAGCCAAGGAGGCCCTGGAACTCTCAGAACCAGGTAAGGAAGCTGTTTACTGGAAAAGTCTGTTTTTAACATGTTGAATGTGAACATCATTTGCTTTTATGTTCAGTTATTAATTTGTGCACCACTATGGTAATATCAAGTGAAAAAGCGAGGTACATGTATAGAAAATGACTGAAGTGAGGTAAATTTGTTAATGTAAGTTTAAATCTCTGATCCTTGTACTTTCTGAACTCAGGCCAACTTAGTGCCAGTGAGGAGAGAATGCAGGTGGCTCATGAAGAGTTACAGGACCTGAAGGGAGTATGGGCTGAGCTGTCCAAAATCTGGGAACAAATTGATGAACTCAAAGAGAAACCTTGGCTCTCTGTACAACCCAGAAAGGTTAGAATCTGAACTTTTCAAAAGCAAGTGTAATTAAGTTAATTTAAAATGGACATTGTATCATTTATATATTAAAATATCATTAAATTTTCATTGTTCACACTTTCACTTTTATAGATAAGACAGTCGTTGGATGGATTACTCAACCAACTTAAGGAGCTGCCATCCAGACTAAGAACATATGCTTCATATGACTATGTGAAAAGAACCCTACAGGGGTATGCTAAGGTGAGTTTGTACCCATCATACTGAAAGCTTTTATTGATAAGAAAATTGAAAAACATCCTTCAGTTTTTACCTGTATATCTCACTTCACAGGTGAATGTTCTGATTGTGGAGCTGAAATCAGAGGCCCTGAAAGAGAGACACTGGAAACAGCTAACAAAGAAGCTCAATGTACGCTGGGTGTTGTCTGACCTTACCCTCGGTCATGTATGGGATATTGACCTCATTAGACATGAACACATTGTCAGAGACATTATTCTTATCGCTCAAGGAGAAATGGCTCTGGAAGAATTCTTGAAACAGGTTTGATGTCATAGTACACATACATTTATCCGGATTTCAGTGTATCATGAAGTGTATGAATTAAGAACTCATGAAATTTATCTTAATTTTAATCTCGATCTGCTTGTTCACTGTTGTTGGTCTCTGTAACAGGTCAGTGAGGTCTGGAGAAGCTACGAGCTGGAGCTGATTAATTACCAGAACAAGTGTCGACTAATCCGAGGCTGGGACGATCTCTTCACCAAAGTCAAGGAACACATCAACAGTGTGTCAGCCATGAAGTTGTCACCATACTACAAGGTATTCTAAATCATACTAAGTGGTAACCTTGAAACTTTTTAAAGTAAATCTCTGTGTAAATTTTGAAAATATGTCATGATTTAAAGTTTTGTTAAGAAATAAAAACAGTCAAATCTCATTGTCTCAAAGATCCAAAGGATTTGAGATTAGATACATAAAGAAAAAGTGGCTTGCACTTCTATACACTTTTATGCATAGTTTTGGGAAATTGATTGGAAATTCCTAAGTTCAACTGTATTACCTTTTAAATATAGATTAGGAAACTTTTAATTCTATTGAAAACTATTGAAGTATTGCTTAAGAGATATATATTGCATACAATGACTTTCTGACAGCAATTTGAGGAAGATGCTTTAGCCTGGGAAGACAAATTGAACAGGATCAATGCCTTGTTTGATGTTTGGATTGATGTCCAGAGAAGATGGGTGTACCTGGAGGGTATATTTACTGGCAGTGCTGATATCAAGGCTCTGCTTCCAGTGGAAACTTCACGATTCCAGGGGTGAGATTTCCGACATGTCAATAAATCAACTCTAATCATCTCTTTACTTACACCAGACTGATGAAGTAATTTGTACATATATGTGCATGTATGTGAAATAAGTACATGATAATCTAGTATAATGATTTTACTTTTGTTTTGTAGAGTAAGCACTGAGTTTCTGGCTCTGATGAAGAAGGTGACACGCTCCCCGTTAGTAATGGATGTAGTGAACATCCCTAATGTTCAGAAACAGCTGGAGCGACTCTCAGATCTCCTGGGCAAAATCCAGAAAGCACTCGGAGAGTATTTGGAGAGAGAAAGAGCTTCATTCCCAAGGTACAGAAAAATATTAATCTAGAGCTACAGGTTATTGCCTTGATTTCAGAGACCTCTTACAGAAATGTTTGTATGTAAAAGTAGCATGTCTAAATTTCAAAATATGGTACATGAACATGTTTGTAGCATATACATGTACATGAGAGGAATATAGATTTTCTGAAGTACAACTCTATTAAGATGTCTTTTATTGCTAACATTTCACAGATTCTACTTTGTTGGAGATGAAGATTTGCTGGAGATCATTGGTAACAGTAAAAATGTTGCTCGTCTACAGAAACACTTCAAGAAGATGTTTGCTGGTGTGGCCACCATCACGTTAAACGAAGACAACTCCCAGGTCACAGGGCTCCTATCAAAGGAAGGAGAAGAGGTGTGTATTAGTGTCATTAAGATGGAAACCCAATTAAAGCATATCAAAAGTCAATCTTGATTGAAAATTTGAATAAATTAGATACTAGTTGATGTTGGAGGAACAGAAAAGAAATGGAAACATCTAATATTAATAATATTGAGCATGAAAAGTTTTCTTTATGACTTCAGGGTTGAGTGAATAGTTGCTTTTGCACTATCAACATTTTCTCCTTGTAGGTTGTGTTTGCCACTCCTGTTTCTATTGCTGCCAATCCTAAGATAAATGAATGGTTGACCTTGACAGAGAAGGAGATGAGGGTGACCTTGGCCAAGCTGCTACAGGCTGCTGTCAAGGACGTTGCTAAGTTTAAGTCTGGTCAGATTGACCCCAATCAGTATCTAGAGTGGATAGATAAGTATCAGGTACGCTTGGCATTTATTTCTGTAGATTCCTAATTATTAGTGAGAAATTAATTATTGCGTAATTTCGCGATAATAAGTATAGGTTACATCATAGATTCCGAGTAGTATTGATTGTATCGTTTTCATGGGGCCTGAAAATCGAGGGCGCAGAGCGCCCGAGATTTCCACGCCCCATGAAAACGATATAACCAATTGTATGAGGCAATCTATGATGTAAGCAACTTGTCGCATGTCTGATGACGTAAATTTCATTGAGAGTGTCAATACTCAATAAAAAATTTTGACCTGATTTCTGCCTTCTGCAGTGATACATGACGGGGCGTGGAAAGTATTATTGCGTATGTGATATGGGATAGATCACCACAGAAAGATCAAAGAAAATCACCACAGATATGCGAAAAATAAGGAATTTGCAGTATACAATGTGTATAGTGTATATCATGGAGCATTCTTAAACTGTGGACGAAATTTGCAAAGAAATTTATATTTATTCTAAATTTGTACCATTAAGCTCCATGCGGCATTAGTGTGAAACGCAAGTGTCTGGCTTTATAAAGCTCATCTGTAGAAACTGTATATGGATTGTTGCTGTGATTGTTTTTAGGCCCAGCTGGTGGTGCTGGCCTCCCAGGTGTCCTGGTCTGAGAGTGTCCAGTCAGCCCTGTCCAATATCGCCGGCTCTAAGAACCCCGCGGACCTGACCGCCCTGACGGACGTCCTACAGGTAGTAGACAACACACTGAATGTACTGGCCGACTCCGTCCTACTGAATCAACCCCCAGTCAGGAGGAAGAAAATGGAGCATTTGGTAAGAGAATTTAACTGAAAGTTAACAAACAAAGAAATTATGCTGAAATGATTAAATTCTGTCAGATTTAAACACTGCTCAGTTTGAATGTTTTTGTTCATTTGGTTTTGTTTGATTTTGTTTACTGAAATGTACAACTGTCAGATACATTTAATACACAATTTGTTGAGTGTAAAGAAGTTCTAATAACATCTGAGACTGTCTAATAGTAATCTTTAACATTTTTTTTAACAGATTACAGAATTAGTACATCAGAGAGATGTGACAAGAACATTAGTGAAGAACAAAGTGAACAGTCCTAAGTGTTTTGACTGGCTGTGTCAGATGAGGTTTTACTTCGATCCCAAGAACCCGGATGTTTTACAGCAGCTGTCTATTCAGATGGCCAATGCTAAGTTTAACTATGGCTTTGAGTACCTGGGTGTACAGGATAAGCTGGTCCAGACTCCGCTGACAGACCGGTGTTACCTGACCATGACCCAGGCCCTGGAGGCCAGACTGGGAGGGTCACCATTTGGTAAGACACGATGAGGGAAGGTGTAGTACAAACTCTCACTTATTTTTATTGGAGGTAGAATATGGTGAATCTTAATATAATACTTTTTTTAGATTCATTTTCCTGTGTTGAAAACTACATGAGGAGTTCAACTTCATGTATAAATATTTTTCAGCTGGATCAAATTGATGCTATTTTAGAATTAAATCATTTTCTTCTATAAAAAGTTACTGTATAATGCTGTGTTAAAATAATGTACATGTAATTAGAAGTCTAGGATCCCTTCAAGGTACATATCTTACTGATAGTTAGCTTTTTAGTGTTTTAACACCAGAAAAATTATTGCATGCTTCCAGCAAGGATGTTCCAGTGGTCCATTGTTACTCCATGGTATGGGTAACAATGATGCTCAGCATGCTAGAGGAACTAAAGGGGCAGGATAAGGTCTCTCTGTTTTAAGTGTTGGCAGAGGGGAGTATGACCTGTCCACAGCTCTAGATAGAACTAGGCATACCGTAATAATATCTAGTGAGACAAGGAATATCAGTGTATTTAAATGTTACAGGTCCTGCTGGTACTGGAAAGACTGAGTCTGTTAAAGCTCTAGGAAATCAGCTGGGAAGATTCGTGCTGGTCTTCAACTGTGACGAGAACTTTGACTTCCAGGTAATGTTTTTTTGGGGAAAAAAAAGACACTATCTTTTGCGATAAGAAAGTATCAAAGAATGAGCAAAAATTTTTAAAAAATTGTACATCATTTCACATTAAAGTTACAGTCAGCGTCTGAGAAAACGAGTAGTTTAGAATGTATCTTTTTCTCTGTTCACCACAGGCTATGGGTCGCATCTTTGTGGGTCTGTGTCAGGTAGGAGCTTGGGGATGCTTTGATGAGTTTAACAGGTTAGAGGAGAGAATGTTATCTGCTGTGTCACAACAAATTCAGACCATACAGGAGGCTCTTAAAGATATGGTTGGCAAGAAAGAAAAGAGTAAGACAATTTAGTTTTATGAATTGCTTGATTTTATCAATTTGAAATGGTAAAATTAATCTGAAGTGTGATTAGAGAAGATGGGTTTGGTGGCCATGTAAACAAAAGTTTTTCAAATTCTCACTGTACATCAATGTAAGTGTTCATACATTTGCCTTGTAGCCTCCACTGCAGTAGAACTGATTGGTAAACAGGTCCGAGTAAATCCAGACATGGCCGTGTTTATCACCATGAACCCTGGATACGCCGGAAGATCCAATCTCCCAGATAACCTGAAGAAGCTGTTCAGAAGTTTAGCAATGACCAAACCAGACAGACAACTCATTGCTCAAGTCATGTTGTATTCTCAAGGATTCAGGATGGCTGAGAAACTCGCTAAAAAAATTGTTCCTTTCTTCAAGTAAGAAAAAACATTAATTTAATCACAGCAAAAATATTTTTAAATGTGCTTGTATGATGTGTGCATGTTCTTATTTATATACAACTTAATCTTTTGATGTAACAAATTTAGTTTAATTTTAATACTTGTTCTCAATGTCTACAGCTTATGATATGTCTATTCATCACAGATGACACTGAATATTTATTAAAATGTGGGTTTTGTGTTTGTCAGGCTTTGTGATGAGCAGTTGTCTCCACAATCTCATTATGACTTTGGTTTACGAGCTCTGAAGAGTGTACTTGTAAGTGCAGGCAATCTGAAGCGGGACAAGATACAGAAAGTCCGCGAAGGAATGCTGGAGAGAGGAGAGAATGTAGACGAAAGGTCTATTGCTGAAAACCTTCCTGAACAGAAAGTAAGATACAGTACATAGAAAGGAATTGTGTAATTTGAAAAGTATCCTTCAGTACCTTATGGTTTAAGTAACAATGATATACATGTACATGTAGTTGTATATGGACAGTGCAATAGTCATAAAACAGTCTAATTTTATGGAAGAAGAACATGATGTCTTTAAATATAGTTGCATGTACAGTGCAGTAAACTTAAAAATCTTTATTTATTAATGAAGATTATGGAATCTAGATACACTGTAATGTGTACTATGCTTATTCTGTGTTGCAGATTTTGATACAGAGTGTTATGGAGACAGTGGTACCTAAGCTGGTGGCTGAAGATATCCCACTCCTGTACAGTTTGCTGTCTGATGTGTTCCCCGGGGTACAGTACGACCCAGCTGAAATGACTGCCCTCAGACAGGAGATCAAAAAAGTGTGTCAGGAGAGGTACCTCACATACGGAGAACAGGACGAACAAGGATCACAGTGGGTGTCAAAGGTAGAGTCTCACTGATAGTTCACATCCTTTGAAAATTAGAGGCTTGTTTACCCATGATACATGGATAAACCAGTTTATCCTCAAATCATTGTAAAATATTGGGAGCAAATGAGATATGGGACAAATATTAACATATTCATGTAATATACCAAACAATGTAAATACAGAAAAGAAAATAAGTTTAGTTGTACATGCCTGTAACAGATTTGGTAACTGGAGTTTATTGATTATCTGTAGGTACTACAGCTGTATCAGATTACAAACCTCCATCATGGTCTGATGATGGTGGGTCCCAGTGGCAGTGGAAAGTCAAAGGCGTGGCAGGTCTTACTGAAAGCTCTGGAGAGATTGGAGGGAACCGAGGGCGTTGCTCATGTTATTGACCCCAAGGTATCACATAGGTCTTCTCATAGTGTATCATCTCTCCATGCAAAGCATACTGCACATAATTATAATGACCTTGAATTTAAAAAAAGCATAGACAGTATTGGAGTATGTTAAAAATGGAACTTATTTTGTAAAAAAAAAAAAATATAAAGCACATGTTTATTAGATGTATGAATCTGTTTTCAGTCCATTTCCAAGGAGGCTCTTTATGGTACTCTAGATCCCAACACAAGAGAATGGTCTGATGGTCTCTTTACTCATGTATTAAGAAAGTGAGTAATAGTTTCATTGTACTTAAATTGTGGTATGTTAGGTGGATTCATTCCATGTTCTGTATTTAGGCATGGAACTTGTGAAACTCTGTATTATACAAGATAATAGATAATGTGGGATATTTTACAGGATAATAAATAACGTGAGATATTTTATAGGATAATAGATAGTGTGAGATATTTTACAGGATAATAGATAACATGAGATATTTACAGGATAATAGATAACATGAAATGTTTTACAGGATAATAGATAACGTGAGTTATTTTACACGATAATGGATTACATGAGATATTTTACAGGATAATAGATAATGTGAGATATTTTACAAGATATTAGATAACATGAGATATTTTACAGGATAACAGATAAAATGAGATATTTTACAGGATAATAGATTACATGATATATTTTACAGGTTAATAGATAATGTGAGATATTTTACAGGATATTAGATAACATGAGATATTTTACAGGATAATAGATAATGTGAGATATTTTACAGGATATTAGATAACATGAGATATTTTACAGGATAATAGATAATGTGAGAGGAGAGCTTCAGAAGAGACAGTGGATTATCTTTGATGGTGATGTTGATCCTGAATGGGTAGAAAACTTAAACTCTGTGCTGGACGAAAACAAACTTCTTACCCTCCCCAATGGAGAACGTCTGGCCATTCCACCTAACGTATGTACAGTGTTGTGTAATTAGTGTTTAATTCATTTTTTTCTTGCCAAACTTATGATTTGTTATCATAGACTTGCCGCTGATACTATTTCTAAGACTAATCTGATTTGATCTGATATACAGGTGAGGATCATGTTTGAGGTGCAGGACCTTAAGTTTGCGACCCTGGCCACGGTCAGTAGGTGTGGTATGGTGTGGTTCAGTGAAGACGTCCTGTCTCCCGAGATGATATACGAAAATTACCTCCGAACACTGAAGAATGTGTCACTGGACGAGGGGGAGGAAGAATCACCTAAGGTCCTCACAGGAGAGGCAGAGGAAACTCTGTCTGCTACAATGCAGGTAATGATTTGTCAGGCTGCTGTAATACTGTAAATTAACCAACAAATTTATTGTAGCTCCTTTTAAGCATTTACATTTTACTTCTATGTGACAGTCAATACTATATTTCACATTGAAAGAGAAAAAAAAGAACCATATTAAATATATTGAATTGTATAGTTAAAGTTTATTGTGATTTCTTTTAGGTTCAGAGAGACTGTGCTAACATCTTGGGTCCATATTTTAATTCTGATGGTGTGGTGAACCGTGCGTTGGAGTATGCTATAAGTTTGGATCACATTATGGACTTTACTCGATTGAGAGCTCTCAGTTCTCTGTTTTCAATGATAAACCAAGGAGTCAGAAACATTATAGCTTACAATAACACTCATGTGGACTTCCCAATGCAGGTAAAGGGCTATATTATGTGGAGGTTTAAAATAACAGAAAATTTTGAAGGTTTCTTTAATTGAGGTCAAGTGATTTATTGATAAGCATAATTTTTAGCCGGGCTTATTGCTCAAAGAGCAATTGCCGGCTTATGTCATCCTGTTCAAGACAGGATGTCAACCCCATAGTCGCCATTTTAAAGTTACGTATAAAACTATAGTTCTTACTCTCAACCGTCTCTGAGATAATACAAACGCTAAATAAAGCAACATAAATAAAACGAAGTTTTATCTAAATAATAAACATTAGTAGTAATGACTTTGAAAACTTCAGTCTTAAGTCTAAGAACATTGTTTATTAGCGTAAGGATTTCTGATAATCAGTGTTATCATAGTTCTCTACACTATCGAGGAAAAACAGGAGAGGGGACCAGACTGGCCTGTTTGTTTACATTCAGTCGTAGTACCAGATTAATTTTGATTCTGACAAAATCGGACTGTGGTATTTGGATCGAAAACTCACTGTCAGTGTCTTATAATTTATACTGCTAGTTTTAAAATAATTTTTTCATAAGAATTTTTAATCTGATATTCTTGTTATTTATCTGTTTATACAATATAAACATATGACTCATGTAAGAAATTCATATTACTCTGTAAATGAGCCCGGCTTTCTGTACTTCTGAGTACTTTGATTTTTTGTGAAGTTACAATTAGTTAAACAAAGAGCATGTAAAAGAGAATGTCATGTATGTAAGTTGCAGTTTGATATGGTTTAAATGTTGACTTTCAGCAAGACCAGGTGGAGAAATACATTACAAAGTACCTGATCTACTCCATTTTGTGGTCTATGTCTGGTGATGGACGTCTAAAAAGTCGACAAGAACTCGGCGACTTTGTCCGTGGAATCACAGACATTCCACTGCCACCCACTACCAATCAACTCATCATTGACTTTGAGGTAACTTACATTGTAAATGGATTTCACTTTTACAGTTTTAGGGCAATACCTGCAATGAGGACTTAATGAAGATTAAAATACATGCCAATGAGTCTTTTTTGCATATGAAATATTGTTTTGAGTGCAGTCCAGCCACTATTAAACATTGAAAAAATGTAATAATGTTTATGAATTGTATATCCTTCCCTGTTGTTTGTAGGTGTCTATATCTGGAGAATGGATCCCCTGGCAGTCCAAGGTCCCCGTAGTGGAGGTGGAGACCCACAAGGTAGCCGCCCCAGACGTGGTCATCCCCACCATCGACACGGTCAGACACGAGGCCTTGCTATACACCTGGCTGGCAGAACACAAACCCCTCGTACTGTGTGGTCCCCCGGGGTCAGGAAAAACCATGACACTCTTCAGTGCTCTCAGATCCTTACCAGATATGGAGGTTAGGAGGATTTCTGTGTATAGATATAATATTTTGTTGTATAATAGATAATAAGGGGGCACTTTGACCAATATCTTGCACTAATGCACCTTGTATGAGGACTGAAAAATTGTAGAATTTCCTTTGTTAATACATGTGCAGCAAATAAAAATTTACATAATAATGTAAAATACATGATAAATTGATATAATAATGAGTCTTTTTTTGTGTCTATCTGTATTTGTATTTATTTAATTTTACAGGTTTTTGAGACATGTCATAATAATGTAAAATACATGATAAATTGATACTTATTTACACAGAAGCAAACATCTTTCCTCTAAAAAGTTTTGTTTCTATTTCTTTTGTTACAGGTGGTTGGTCTGAACTTTTCCAGTGCCACAACACCAGAACTGCTGCTGAAAACGTTTGACCAGTATTGTGAGTACAGACGTACTCCCAATGGGGTGGTGATGTCCCCCATACAGATGAACAAGTGGCTGGTTCTCTTCTGTGACGAGATAAACCTGCCAAATATGGATAGATACAGTAAGTTAATGCAGGAGTGCTTTTAAATATATTGTTTTTCACAATGTCCTTCAATTCTCCAGTTTGAGCGTAACTCTCATTGCTTTTGTTTTCTCTTATTTTCTGTACAGACACCCAGCGTGTTATCTCCTTCCTGAGACAGATGTTAGAACATGGAGGATTTTACAGGACATCAGACCACACCTGGGTCAAGTTTGAGAGGATGCAATTTGTGGGTGCCTGTAACCCTCCCACTGATCCAGGGAGAAAGCCCCTGTCTCACAGGTAAACAGCAGCTCTAGTCTGTAGAGGCTAGGAGATTTCAGTAAGTTAAGAATGCACAGGAATGAGGGCTGGTATAAAGTAGAAACAAATCTCTTTACATTAGCATTGTTGTTAAGTTTACATGGTAATTATACCCCACGCAACTAGTTGCGGGAGGTATAATGTTTTTGACTGGTCCGTCAGTCAGTCAGTCAGTCAGTCAGTCCTCTTTTTTTTGTCAGCGCAACTCCTCATAAACCGCTGCACAGAATTTCGTCAAACTTTGCAGGTATTTAGGACACAATGTGTAGATGTGCATATTACCAGGAAATTCCGATTCCATTATTTTTTCCGGGAATTTCCGCACTTTTAACTTAGGCATTTGGCCATACCTTGAATATAGAGATGAACAGTTTGTCAGCGCAACTCCTCATAAACCGCTGCACAAAATTTCGTCAAACTTTGCAGATATTTAGGACACAATGTGTAGATGTGCATATTACCAGGAAATTCCAATTCCATTATTTTTTCCAGGAATTTCCGCACTCTTAACTTAGGCATTTGGCCATACCTTGAATATAGAGATGAACAGTTTGTCAGCGAAACTCCTCATAAACCGCTGCACAGAATTTCGTCAAACTTTGCAGGCATTTAGAACACAATGTGTAGATATGCATATTACCAGGAAATTTCGATTCCTTTTTTTTTCTAGGAATTTCCGCACTTTTAACTTAGGCATTCGGCCATACCATCTAGGACACAATGTGTAGATATGCATATTACCAGGAAATTCCGATTCCATTATTTTTTCCGGGAATTTCCGCACTTTTAACTTAGGCATTTGGCCATACCTTGAATATAGAGATGAACAGTTTGTCAGCGCAACTCCTCATGAACCGCTGCACAAAATTTCGTCAAACTTTGCAGATATTTAGGACACAATGTGTAGATGTGCATATTACCAGGAAATTCCAATTCCGTTATTTTTTCCAGGAATTTCCGCACTCTTAACTTAGGCATTTGGCCATACCTTGAATATAGAGATGAACAGTTTGTCAGCGAAACTCCTCATAAACCGCTGCACAGAATTTCGTCAAACTTTGCAGGCATTTAGAACACAATGTGTAGATATGCATATTACCAGGAAATTTCGATTCCTTTTTTTTTCTAGGAATTTCCGCACTTTTAACTTAGGCATTCGGCCATACCTTGAATATAGAGATGAACAGTTTGTCAGCGCAACTCCTCGTAAACCGCTGCACAGAATTTCGTCAAACTTTGCAGATATTTAGGACACAATGTGTAGATATGCATATTACCAGGAAATTCCGATTCCATTATTTTTTCCGGGAATTTCCGCACTTTTAACTTAGGCATTTGGCCATACCTTGAATATAGAAATGAACAGTTTGTCAGCGCAACTCCTCATAAACCGCTGCACAGAATTTCGTCAAACTTTGCAGATATTTAGGACACAATGTGTAGATGTGCATATTACCAGGAAATTCCGATTCCTTTATTTTTTCCGGGAATTTCCGCACTTTTAACTTGGGCATTTGGCCATACCTTGAATATAGAGATGAACAGTTTGTCAGTGCAACTCCTCATAAACCGCTGCATAGAATTTCGTTAAACTTTGCAGATATTTAGGACACAATATGTAGATGTGCATATTACCAGGAAATTTCGATTCCTTTATTTTTCTAGGAATTTCCACACTTTCCAACTTAGACTTTTTGGCCATATTTTAAATATAGAGATGAACAGTTTGTCAGCACCACTCCTCTTAAACTGTTTTACATAGTTTCGTCAACCTATGCTGATATTTAGAACATATTCCATTATTTTATCCCAAAGAGTTTTGACTATTATTCAAGAAAATTTCTCAACCCCCCCCCCCCCCACTTCAAATTAATGTGTGGATTTGTATATTGTCAAGAAATTTTGATTCCATTATTTATCTAGAAACTTCATTCCAAATTTAAATGTCCTCATATGCAAGACATTTTGATGAGAAGATTTTTTGCAATTATTGCCCTTTTTGATCTATACTATGTATTTAAAGTGCACTGTGCCTTTCATTATGTGTTTCACCGTCAAGTTATGGGGGAGCGTGGGGTATGTGAGCTAGCTCACTTTTTCTTTCATTGTGTCTATTTGTATTTTGTTTAACTTTACAGGTTCTTGAGACATGTCCCAGTAGTGTATGTGGATTACCCAGGAAAGATTTCCCTGACTCAGATCTATGGAACTTTCAACAGAGCCATGCTGAGACTTGTTCCCAGCCTAAAACCATATGCAGAGCCTCTAACCAATGCTATGGTGGAATTCTATCTCATGTCACAGGTAATGTTTCAGAGTAGGATCTACATTATAGGAGCAGTAAATACATGTATGCATTTTTTTAGATTTTAATATTTATATATATGTTGATTTATGCATTTTTAGAAGTAATTACTGTTTAATTAAAAACAGCGGAACATGATGATAGAAAAAAAGTAGGGATTTCAACGAATAGTCGACTATTCGACTATCAGTCGAATGGACCAACGATCGAATAATGAAACGACATTCGAATATTCAAAATTGAAAAAGAGTCCTTCCTCAAACTATACAGTGTACGTCCTCAGACAAAAAAGAGCTCTTAACATAGTCACAGTATGTAATTTTCCACATTGTACACATGGAAAGTACAGTAATTACATACCGCGATAATTATTTTTCAGTCACTGACCCTTTGTTGTTGTAGTAAAGTATGCAACTCTAGACTGGACTTTATTTAAATTATCATTTAATTAACTAGTACCAATTATATTAGTTACCTGTAGGAATTTCAAATGTTAGGAACACACATTTGCATAGCCGTGAAGTTTTTAAACTTCGATGATAATAATCTTACATAAAAGACATTTTGATAGCTGGGGCAATCATTAATTGAACAAGCAGTATTTAACAATATCACCTGAAGTGTGGAAAATGTGTGTTTACAATTACCATTTTCCAATTTATTTAATTAATAAGCTTTCAAAAACACTGTGCTATAAAAAAAAAATGCTCTGAATAGTTGACTATCGTTTGAATAATGCAATCGAATGTTTGACTAAGGAAAATAAATATTTTGACATCCCTTAAAAAAACGATACAAAAAATCCTGACATAGTTATTATATGTATTGTTTTATTTATTTCCTATCATCAGGAGAAATTTACCCAGGACATGCAGCCCCACTACGTGTACAGTCCCAGAGAAATGACCCGGTGGGTGCGTGGTATTTGTGAGGCCCTCAGACCCCTGGACAACTTAGATGTGGACGGCCTTGTCAGAATTTGGGCCCATGAAGCCCTGAGGTTGTTCCAAGATAGGTGAGAAAATGAGAGTGAGACATTGAACACTTTTACTATGTTACTTTTAATGCACACTATTCCTGGTAGTCCAGAAAACCAATAAGCTTTAAATTGTCTCACCATGCCAAGAAACACTTGTAAGGATTTCAGACAAAGGTGTTGCTAGAGTTTACATATTCAATAATGTGGAATTGCAGGTTGATTGAAGATGAGGAAAGAAGATGGACTGATGAAAATGTAGATGCTGTTGCGTTCAAAAACTTCCCCAACATTAATCGTGAAGCAGCCCTAGCCAGACCCATCCTGTTCAGTAACTGGCTCTCCAAGGACTATGTGCCAGTGGACAGAGAGAGATTGAGGGAATATGTCAAAGCCAGGCTTAAGGTCAGTTTCAATTCAAAATGTTTTATAAAGTCAGAAATTCAAATCATTGCAATTTGGCTGGTAAGTAAGATGCATGTATGTATACATCAATTAGAAGGAAAACATAAGAAGAATAATAACTTTATGATTAACTGTTGAATAATCTGTGATTTTGTGTAGGTCTTCTATGAGGAGGAGTTGGATGTCCCCTTGGTGTTATTTGATGAGGTTCTGGACCACGTGCTGAGGATTGACAGAATTTTCAGACAACCTCAGGGGCACGTACTCCTGATAGGGGTCAGTGGATCAGGAAAGACAACTCTGTCCAGGTTTGTGGCCTGGATGAACGGACTGAGTACCTATCAGATCAAGGTCCATAACAAGTACTCCGCAGCAGACTTTGATGAGGACTTGAGAAATGTTTTGAGAAGATCTGGATGCAAGGTACTGTTAAACTATAATTAACTAAAAATATGTAAGGAATATGGGATTTCAGTTGTTTATGTTGGAGAAAATTGGTTGTTTCCATTGTTTTATCTTCATCCTGTTGTCTCAGAGAACATGTATTAAACAGAAATGAAATACAGCAAAAACAAAATTACATTTACAAGTGTTTCGTCACAGGATGAGAAGATAGCTTTCATCATGGATGAATCCAATGTGCTGGACTCTGGATTCCTGGAGAGAATGAACACACTGCTGGCCAATGCTGAGGTGCCAGGTCTGTTTGAGGGAGATGAGTACACCACTCTGATGACCCAGTGTAAGGAGGGGGCCCAGAGGGAGGGACTCATGTTAGACTCGGGAGAGGAGCTCTATAAATGGTTCACAGGACAGGTGATGAAGAACTTACATGTAGTGTTTACAATGAACCCCTCAACTGAAGGTCTCAAAGATAGAGCTTCTACATCACCAGCCTTGTTCAACAGGTAATGTGATTCTGTTACATTTATTATGAACAGAGTTTTTATTTTTAAAAAAAAAATGTTTGTTTTCTACATATACATTGTACACGGACTTCACATTAAGTATGACCTACTTGTGACCATGTATATGAATAGATGCTTGCATTTTCACTGTATATGGTTGAAAATTCTTAAAATGTTGTTTACAGGTGTGTCTTGAACTGGTTTGGTGACTGGTCCAATGGAGCCTTGTACCAGGTTGGTCGTGAATTCACAAACAAGATAGACCTAGAGAAAGGAAACTACATGGCTCCGGAAAATATTCCGGCCATGCATGAGCTTCCAGTCAGTCCGTCACATCGTGAGGTAGTCATCAATGCCTTCGTCTTTGTCCACCTGTCTCTACATCAGGCTAATGCTCGTGTTCTGAAGAGAGGAGGGAGAATTACTGCTGTCACCCCACGACACTATCTGGACTTCATCAACCATTTTGTAAGCTTATAATTTTTTTGTACATTGTGGATGCATGTTATCAGCAGCAATTCTTACTAAGATCTTAAACTTTAAAATCATTGTATTAAAACCTCTAACATCTGGCATACTCATTCTTTATAAGGCCAAGCTGTACAATGAGAAGCGTTCTGACTTGGAGGAACAACAGCTTCACCTGAACATAGGTCTCCAGAAAATCAAGGAGACGGTAGAACAGGTGGAGGAGTTACAGAAATCACTGTCTGTCAAACGACTGGAACTGGAGGAGAAGAACGCCGCGGCCAACGCCAAACTCAAACAGATGGTCAGTCAGCACAGATAGTATCTTAATGGTTAAGGACATGGTAAAAAAAAAAAAAAGCAGCAGCAGCAGTGTGTATTTAAAAATTAAGATCTCTTTTGTGAAAGTGTACTTTGGTTTACTGATTTTTGGTTTATTAAGTACAGTAAAAATAGGGGCAAGGATATATAAACATGCGAAATGTTCTTAACAATCACTGATTTGTTTTGGATTAGGTAAAAGATCAACAAGAAGCAGAAGCCAAGAAGGTGATGTCCCAGGAGATTCAGACCGCTCTAATGGCACAGACCAAGGTCATTGATGAGAAGAAGCTGGACGTCAAGGCTGACCTGGCCCAGGTAGAGCCCGCTGTCATAGAGGCCCAGCAAGGTCAGTACACACAGCATTACTTACAGATCACAAAACGTACAGTTCTTTTACGTATTTAAAAATATGAAAAGTGTGAAATAAAGGGTTCTATCATTGTATACTTTATCCTTCAAAAGAGTGTTGGTTTCTTATGGTTTTTCAATATTTCTGCTGATCATAGATTTGTTTAAATGTGAATCAGTTGACATTTATAAATGTAAATTTCAAATCCTCATTTGCTTATATGTGTTGTTTAATTTAAGTGTTTGTAAAATATACCGTGCATTGAGTTTCTTTTAATGTATTGAATA